TCATTTAATTGGCAATTGGCATTAAAACAGAGACAGAGACGTCAATCAAAATGATTGCATGAACTGCCGTGTGATGTCATCTGTGATCTGATGCGCTGTAGCTGAGTTGCAATTGACAAATTTGCATAGGCAACTAAATGAAAATAATGCAAATTTAATACCATTAAATTAATATGAAACTTGGTCAGCAATTTGTAATTTGCAAAGTGTAGCCAAAGAGCTAAACATTAAAGCAGATTTTTGAACGTCATTGAGATACTTATGAGACAGAGAAATTGAGAGAGAGATAAAGAGAGAGAGAGAGAGAGAGAGAGAAACAGAGTGAGAGAAGGATAGAGATAGAGAGAGAATGCTCTTGCTAATTGTCCACATAAATACTTATTTATTTATATATTTTATTTTATTTTTATATTTTTTTAAATAATGAGTAATTTTACAATGGTAATTATTTATTTTATTTTTATTTTTAAAATTTTAAAAGTAAATTTATAAAAATAAACCATTTAATAAAAGAAATCTTTAATAATATTTTATTTATTTATTTTTTTGGGAATATATAGAATGTTAATTTATAAATGTAAACCATTTAATATTTATTTTAAATTAATTTTATTTTATGTTACTTTATTTTTTCATTAATATGAAATGTCAAATTATAAATGTAAATAAGACGGAGCATCGTTAGATAGTATTTAATTAAATATTAAGTAATATACTTGGGTACCTAATCTTATCTATCTAGGCATATCTATTCATATTTCAAATTATTCCCACAAATAGCGGATAATCGCTATCACTATTTTAATTACATTCCAAAAATAAATGATTCATCCCTCACAATTATCAAATTCATTGAATTTTTGTTGCAACTGCAATCAGCTCAATGTGCGCTGAACTAGTTTGGTTTATTTGGCTAATATTTTGGCAGACTTTAAGATTAATTTCATGAAATAAACAGAGTTTGTGCAACAGTGTTTACACGTACGTACATGCACATGCGCATGCATGCATGTGCATGTGCTTGTGCTTGTGTTTGTGTTTGTGTTAAGGGCTTATTGTAACTGTGAATGTGAAAGGACAACAACTGTGCAGTTGAACGGACTAACCGCGGGTACTGCAATAACCACAACAAATGCAACAATAACAACAACAGCAACAACATCAGCAACAGCAACAACAACAGTGGCCACAGACACAACCGAAAAACAAAAGGCCTGGCCAACAGAGTAAATACATATACAACGATGTGGTGTATGGGTGTGTGTGTGTGTGTATTTACGCGTGTGTGCGCCTGTGCCCAGCAGATGCGTCAAAATGAACGGAAATTGGCTTAAAAATGACAACAGCATTGTGACAACAGCAACAACAACAACAACAACGCCAACAATGAGATCAGCAAATATCAAATGACAACATTTTGTTGCTGTTGCTGCACGTGGGCAGTTTCATAAGTTGTAATACGCAGATAATTAAAGTAAATCGAATAAAACATTGCACTTAAATTATTAAAGCAGCAGTAAACAAATGCATGGCAGAAATGTAAATATAGCCAGGTGGCCCATGCTCAACTTAGATATATGTATGTATGTACATAAATATGTGTAAATATATTGAATGTTATTGCATTGCCGTTACAGTGCGTACTTTTAGTTTGCACCTTTGAAATATGCGTAATTTATTCGCTGACAGTTTTAGAGTTTTTCTCTTGTTGCTGTTTGGTGGTGCAAGTGGTGGTGCATTGACTTTTGCACATTATGAGCTTAAAATTGATACGGCGTATGCGTGATGCTGCTGCTGCTGCTGCTGCCGCTGCTATAACGTATGTTGGCCGTTTTCCGCTGCGCACTATTTGGGGTCCTTTGAGCCATGTGCCTGGGTTTCGTTTTTCCTGTGGGCATCATTTGCACAAAAATTGCAAATGCTGCCGCCAACGGGCGCTGGACAACAAAAACCATGTGCGGACAAAAAGTTAACTGGCATTTTAGTTTTTCAGCTGGTTTTCAATTGTCAAACAAGCATGCTTTAAAACTGACATTTTCAATCTTTTCCTTTTTTTTCCCAGCTTGTCTATTGATCAAGTGCTTGTACACATGATATCAGTGCTCGCTCATAGAGCTTGATGTCTGTGCTTAACTCAATTGTTTGAACTCAGTCGCAGTTGTTAGTTATTAAAAGTGACTTTTAGCCAGAGGCTCTGCAGTGTTGTCGACTCTGTCAGTTAGGAAATTGAATTTCCATTTTGTTTGTGCACCATAGTCTATAACAATTCAATCAAAACTCAACTGAATTTATTGTATACAGTTTATGGTATTATGTATTTGTTATACAGTTTATGGTTTTATGGTGATTTAATCTTTTTTCTCCGAACACAAGCTACATATAATAGTAGATATGTTTTGGCTTAATTTGCGTATGTCAACTGTGGAAATTGCCTTCAGCGTTCCCAGAAATTTTATTTAAATTTATATATATTTATATATATATTTTATAATTTTAATTTCAGTTTTTATTGTTTCTATTTTTACTTGCATTTTTTTTTTATTTTTTGTTTATAAAATCATTTACCTTTGATTCATTTTTGCTATATTTAAAAATTTATGGGTATTTAATCTAGGGGTTCCTAGTTACAATTTCTTAGTGCCAGCAAACATTGATGAATATGTATGCATATAATTCATGTATTTTATGTGAAAATATATGAATAAACTGTACAAATGGAAACACATAAATACAAAAAAAATAATACTTGAAATTCTTAAATAATTCTTTAAATAATTAAAATATTTTCATTATTATATTTTGAATGGTTCAGGAATTTCAGATTTTTATTATTATTTTAACCTAAATTAAAATTAATATTCTTAGTATTCTTCCGGCAAACTCAGGTTTAACTTGAAATACAATCTACATAGTAGTATATCTTTCTAGTATGTCTGCATACCTACAAATTATATATTAACGATTTCATATGAGAGACTTAATAAAAAATTCTGTGCTCTCCACATTAATATATTTCAGATTGTATTTGAGAGATTTTTAAATAATTCTCTGTTTTTCAAATATTGCATTTTAAATATTTTATTCAGGAGAAAAAATCCTTTGGCAGTGCTGCCAGCCTGGCAAGGCTATGACCCAGCGTATGCCAGCAGTGGGTGCGTTTGCTCGCATGCTCCACACGCAAGCCGAGTATTTTGCCAGTTCCGCGTTGTCGCTGGTTTTCCTGTTTGCCAGTGACTTGTTGATTTTACAACTTTTCAATTGAACGAGCTGCAGCGTACGAGTCAGCAAATGTTTGCCAAGCGCAGCAGCAGCAGCAGCAGCAGCAGCAGCAGCAGGAGTTGGAGCAGCAGGAGCAGGCGGGGATAAATTTATTTTCAATTATGCATGAAAAATGTCGAGCAGTGGAAAATCGTAGTCGTTATGCTTATGCTCGGCGCACGCAGCACGGCTGAGAGTATCAGAATGCAACTTAAGTTGCAACGCAAACAAACGCCAGCGACATATCGCAATTTTGACAACCATGCATCAAAATATCTGTGCTATGTCCCCAGCTAACCATTTCGCCATATCCGAGACCCCATCTACATATATATTTACTTATATATATGTACATATATGTGTGTATGCCAGCCAACTGGCATGCGACTTCAAAGGATTGCAAATCAAGCAAGGCACGTACTTGAGCTGGAATTGAAAACTCCATGGGATATCGCCCGCTGCAGGAGGCAGCAGACGGTGCAAACAGCCAGTGGGCGGGCCAGACCGGCGAGGGGTGCTCCGTCAGTTTAGGTAGCGAAAATGGAAACGCAAATAATATTGAGTGTGGCGACGACTTTGCCCTCTTTGTCGCCTCGCGCTACCACTGGAGAGACTGTTATTGTGTTTGCCCTAAAAATAACCAGAAATTGCTTGGGTCTAGATTTGTTTACACAAAGGCGTTGCAAAATTGGCAAAAATGGTCGAGAAGCTAAACAAAATAAATAAATAATATAGCGGGCGTTCACTCGTTTGCTCCAAGGCAATGGATTGCTCGTTCCCATTGACAGGCGGCGTCAGTTGTCAGTACTTTTCTTGTGGTTGATGCAAGTGTCGCCCGTTGTTATTGTTGTTGTTGTTGTCAACAACTTTTTGGCAGCGTCTGACACTTGACACTTAATGTGCATCATTGCGCAGCTGACAACTTCAAGCTATTTCCGTGCTGCTGCCAGCAGCCAAGCAGCCAAGCAGCCAAACAGCCAAACAGCCAACCCACCTCACCCACCCCAACACAGCAGAAGGAGCACTTTGTTGTGCTCTCCAAAGTCGGAGCAGCTTCCTCTCTGCTCTCGCTGCTGTCATTTCAAAGCGAAAGTTTTGCATGGCCATAGAAAAAATCAAATAACAAATTGCAGCCGCAGCTGTGGAGTGGGTGAGTGGGTGAGTGGGTGAGCGCGGTGCACTCTCTGACATTTTTATGAGCAGCTGCAAAAGATTTTCGTCGTTCGCTTCTATTGCTCTTGTCTGCTTGTTTTCCACCAAAAATTTGTTGTGCGTGAAAAGTTGTGCGTTCATATTCTGTCTGTTGTTGATATTGTGGTGGGCAACGGCAACGGCAACGGCAACGGCAAAGGCGAGGCGAGACGAGGCTGGGCAGAAAGACGCGATATATCATTTGGCCACAGCTCGATCAATGCCAATCGAATTGTTGCCCGCAAAGTTTCCTGGCCAAGGACCTGGCCACCAGAGGTGTGCGCTGCAGTTGGCGGTGCAGCCAGCCACTCAGAAGGCAAAACAGCTGTTGGTAATTTACTGCCTCGCGGCCGAAAAGAAGGCGCGTCTTTCAAAAACTTTGCGCTGCGCTATGGGCAACATTTTGGCTCCTCTCGCCAACTTTCAATTAAGCTTAAAAGGACACAAGTTTGCAGTGCGCCCTACGGCCGGCAGCCTTCTGCTGGCATATTTCAATAAGTTTTCAAACTCAGGCCCGTGCACTAAAACAACATAATTCATACTTAACTCACCGAAACAGTTTCCTGGCAACAGGGGCGTGGCAAGTAGGCGGCTGGACTGCTGCTGCAAGTGCGCTGTAAAAAAGGCAAAGAGGGAAATAAAATTGCATTAGCTGGGCATAGATTTTATTGTGACTGTGTGTGTGTGTGTGTGTGTGTGTTGGTGTGTATGAGCTGCCAAAGATTTTGGGACTGCTCATAAAATGAAATGAAATTTATGTACAGTTGCAAAGTTGTGCTGCTGCAAAAGTGCGCGGCATAAAACTTTCAAAAGCAGCCAGGATGCGGCTAAACATGCGGCGCGGGGGGGTGTGCTGGTAGGGGCGATGAGGTGGGTGCATCCTGACAGCAGCGCGTAATTCAAAATTCGAGTGGCAGTCGCTGGCAGCGGCTAAACCAAAGCCAGGATGCGCTCTGTGGCAACAAACGCGACTTCCGTGTTGCGGCGAGCTCGCAACGGAGCCGAAAGCCAAAACCGAGAACTGCGAACTGCCAACTGCGAACTGCGAACTAAGAGAGGAGTTTGGCCAGCCAAGTGGGCAATCTGTTTACGCCTATTTTGACTTCACTCTTTTGCCAGTTGCAATTTGATTTGGGCCAACACCAAAACACACTCACACACACACCCACACGCACACACAGGCAGAGCACCCACTCCAGAGCACTCGCTGCGGTTGCGTTAAAAATATCTTTTCATTTAGAAATTTGCCGCAGGCCAGAGCTCACTGTCTTAGGCAGCAGCTGGCCGCATTGACAGTTTCCCACTCCCATTGTTGTTGCTTTAAATTCGTTATAGACCTTGGCCAGCTCGAGCTTAAGTGTGCCTCGCGGCTAAGGCTGAGCGCGGCGCAAACTCTTGAAATCGGCTTTGATGCGTTTTTCCAATTAAGTTATTGGAATCTTGGTTAAGAATTTCAACTGTGGTTTCGGCATCGGCATCGGCATCGGCATCGACGTCGTCCTCGACCTCTGCCTCAAAGGTTGGGCGCTTGCCGCCGATACCTATCACAGAATCGATTTTGCTCTAGCTACAGAGCAAACGATTTTAATTGAATTTGCGCAAGAGCAGCTGGCAAATATGCTGTGGTGTCTGTCTGTGGCGTTGCTCTCAATTAAATCGTAAGTAACTGACGATTAATATGATAAATCGAACATGCTACTCAAACTAATTGCAATACAAAGTACTTGAGCCGCTCGATTGTAGTTGCTGTAAACAATCTGATGAATATTAAATAACCTTAAAGATTACTAGTAAAATGCATATTAAGTAATGCAAATATCAGATAGAAATTTTATCGAGTAAATTCATCTATTATAATAAATATACAAAGAAAGTTATTCATAAATTCTTGTTTTATGCCAAAGTCTGAGAGACGTTCCAATTAAAGTTCATGGAGTCTATTGTCCATCCAAATGGCAAACTAATTGCTTTAAGTGCAGCTGTGCGATGGCTAACTGCAAGTTTGCCAGCTCTTGTTAAATTCCTAAACATTACACACAGGAGTATTAAATCAGTTGACAGCTCTGTGTGGGGTAAATATCAAGGAGTTGATAATATGAGCAAAGAAACCAGTTGGTTGATGCTGAAAAATCTAATTGGCCAACTTTTGTTTATCGATGGACAAAACTGCAGGACGTATCGACACTCACAGAGAGAGAGAGAGAGAGAGAGTGAGAAAGAGAGGCACTCGGAGACAATCAGAGACATTGAGACACACCCAAGTTGGCATTGTAATTACGGTTATTGCATATCCATGCAATCGAAAAAATGCTGTCGTCCTTTTTGGCCAGCTTGTTTTGGCCTGCCATCTGTGCTGTGTGCCGAAAAAGACGAAAAATTGAAATACGAAAATGCCTTACACTTGGGCCAGACAGTTGGCTAAGCGACACACACACACACACACACTCGCACACACATAGAGCCAATGGGACGTGCATATCTCTGGCATTGCCGGCATGCCAGTGCGCCGAAGTATGCAACCTTTTATAATCACAGCTATGTAGAAGCCGAGATTATCCCGTAAGGAGCCCAGGGCAAGGCGCACAAGTGGACAAGTAAAGAGCATAAAAGAAATATGAAAGCCAAGGAGACATATGATAGAAAATTTCAAATATTTACTGCATTTATATATAAATATTTAAAAGAAATATATGTATATCTACTCAAATTTATATAAATCTGTATGTATGTATGTGCCACCAAATTAAGCAAGTTGTCAACTTCTTTCTCTGGCTTTCTAGCTGCACTCGAGATCAACTATCGGACTGGCCTCGGCTAGGGAAGCCAATTGCCCAACAACGCCCACCCGCCCGCCCGCCCACCTCTCCATTGGCATCGCACACCTCTTTGCGGCATCCAGGCCACAAAAGTATGTGATTGGGGTAAAATATGTTGCCAGTTATGCGACTGCTCTCTCAATGTGGGTATGAATGAATGTATATAAATATCTGTGCACCGGGGGGTGAGTGGGGCTGTGGCTAGCAGGGGCAGCAGCATATGACAGCCAGACAGGCAGTCAGAAATGTGCGTTGGGTCAGGCGAGGCCTTGCTGTTGTTGCTTTATACTTTTATTTTTATTTTTATTTTTTTTTATTTCTGTTTTGCAATCATAAATATTTCATACGCAATTTCATAAGATTGGACGAGGGGCCTATCCTTTATAGTAAATCAAAGTGGCTTTAAAAATTTTATGCTCCGTCTGGACATAAAAATTTCATATTGACAAATACACAAACAGCACACACACACACACACACTCACACACACAGCCACACACACTTGAGCACATTTTGCTAGTCTGAAAGTTATATTTGTATTGTTGCATTCTCAAATAATTTACTTTTGCATGGCTCTTGTGCAATTTGATTTTAATTCAATTAGAGCATTTCGCAACAGAATTTTCCTGGAAAAACTCCATGTCTACATTAGTTTACCCACTTATTTCATGCGTGAGGATGTCAACAAGCTCGTTAACTGCAGTTGATAAGAGTTTCACTCAAATCTATTTGCCATTGTCTGTGCCAGTAGATATATGTACATAATATGTATGTATGTATGTATGCATGTGTGTGTGTGTCACACTATTATTGCTCAAGCACATTTACTCCAGCGTTTAGATCGCTTCGTTTACACATTTTTCAACGCATTTTCACCAACATACATCACTGCTAGTTGCTGTTGGCTTTTTGCTTTTATTCGCCTCGTGTATTGCTGCTGTAAGACAAAGGCAAAACAACGTTTGTATGTGTTGTCAAGATGACAGAACGTTTTGCCAACGTATAAGTAGCCTGACGACGAGCACACTCCCTCCCTACTGGCACTCCATATCCTTCACATGCTTGAAACGCCCTGTCATTTGCACTACAGCAAACCGAAGCAGCCATAGAGCCTCTGCTCAACATGATGCAAGAGCAGTGTGGGTAATCACACTAGCTGCGAATTCTATACGGACTCTGTTGTGCTCATTTAACACTGGAGCACAAATAAGATTCTCAAAACGCTATTGACAATCCCAAGCAAGTGCTTTCGTCTCATAACGCAGTCGTACATGTGAATTGTTCTTCTGCAATTATTGGATTTACGAAATATCCAAGAATCTATTTGTATTATGTAATTCTAAGAAATTTATTTCTGCTATGAAATGTAATGAGTTTACTTTTATTTTTATTTTTTTCTCAATGTCCATTGGCCTTGAATTAAAAATTGTAAAAGTGTTTGTCTATTGAAGCTGTAAAATAATTACGCTCTCTTTTAAACAACCTTGGCTTGTATATAGAGTATTCGAAATATGAAGGGAAATAAATATCCTTTGACTCCCCATGCACTTTACTTAATTCAAATATTTATCGATTTATTATTTTTATTTAACTTAGGCTGATATTTATTCATGAATTATTATTGTTTCTGTACAATGATATTATCTAACAGAAGAAATTTTAATCTTGAATTATTATATAAACTGCTTCAACTATGCCGCATCTACGTTTATCGTTTATTTTCAACATTTTTAATATCTTCGGCATTTCTTGATGGACTTTAATGAAAATGTTTATATTATGCTGCCGACTGAAATTAAATGGAAAAGGCAGTAAAGCAAGCCTTTTCATTTCCAGTATTTGCAATTCAGTCTAAATTTGATTGGATTTTTCATAATGCTATATACACGTTCAATCAATACAAATATTCTATGTAGAGACGGAAATGAAGGCAAGTTAATTGCAGCAGAGCTGCTTTGTCCTAGGCCCCTTCATTAGACATTGCCCAGTTATTTGCTTCATTCATTCTCAGTATTTTCTACACTTTCTCCAATTAAGAATGGATGTGACCGACTAGGAGATACCATGAACCAGGAGCTAATTGAATTCCCAGTTTATAAAAAGTTGATTAATGAAAACAAGATTGCCTTGCTTACGATAAAATAACAGAGACATTTGAAGACTCGATATACAGGCGAGCGAATATGACTAAGACTCTTTCCACATTTCCTTTTAACTTTAATACTCAATCTCGCCTATTTTTAAAGCGTGTAAAGAGTCTTACCATGGCAAACATATTTCTACAAATTTCTAATTTCCATTTAAAATCGTCTTCTTCGTATTTTTGCTCTTGAATTTATTCATTTTTTTTTTATAAAAATAATTCTTGCTCTAATTCTGAGTCTTTTCATTTTAGTTTACGGCTCTAAGCTGCATACACTCTTGATCTTTAATGTCATTTAAGTTATAAATTCTAAGCATAGAGAAAATTTCGTAAAATATATCAACGGCTGAGAAAACAAAGCTTATTCCATATGCAAATAGCAGGCAAAGGGCGAGCATTGAGAGTGGTGTGAAGAGCTTTAAATAATTGTTAAATGTGCAATTTTGTTACGCTTGGCACAGAGAATAAATTCGAAATGCAACTATTTAATAAGCATCAAGATGACCAGCCATAAATAATCCATGCTGCATTTACAACTTATCCAATGGGCCGGGTCTAAGTTAAAGCTTTTAATTGCTTTGTTGTTTTTCGTACGATGCTGCATGCCAGAGGAGTTTCGGCTCGACTCCCATGCATGCATGTGCATGCTAATACAT